AAAGTGATGCCTTAGAGCAAGCCTTTAGAGGCTATATATAAAAACGAAACAAAACGAATAAGGAAACTAGATAGTAGTCTTCACATCAGGACCTTGCGATCGAGTATCTGATGGGCTGAACAGGGCCTTAGAGGCTTCGCCTTGTGATCGAGTGTCTGATAAGTCAAATTGGGCTTCAGGGACTCTGCCTTGCGATCGAGTGGACTGAAGTGAAGACGTGATCGAACGGTCCAATGACCTTGCAATCGAGTGGAGCGATCGAGTGGTTTGGCTGCTTCTCTTCTCTTCTGTATGCTCAGGTTGTCTGGTTGAGTGTAGGATGAGTGGATGGGCTGCTTTGTGATCGAGTGGCTATATCTCCAGCTCTGCAATCGAGTGGTGATCGAGTGATGATATCTCCGACTCTGCGATAGAGTAGTGATCGAATGAAACCGAGCTGCTGGCTTCTCCGAGGTTACGATCGAGTGGTCTGGTGAAGGTGCGATTGAGCATCCTGACTTTCTGCCCTGTTTCTCCTCTGTTTGAGCACCAAAAGCGTCCAAAGCACTTGAAAACAATCCCAATATGCAATGCACATGCATTCTAATGTAAAACCGTCCTATGTATGCAAAATACACTAAAACGATTACTAATGAGATAAATGTGGGTGAAACAATGTCAAAGTGATGAACAATGAATGCTTAAATCATGCAAATTATAGACATATCATCCACCTAAGGGATACATCTACTTGTATGAGTTGTTTTTGTTGATGGCGGGCTCTAGTTTCTGCTTCCCGAGTTTTTGACGAGTTTTTGCACTTGGGCAACTTATTGTTGCTTCAATTCGGAATAAAGTTAGTTTTGCGATCCTAGGAGCCAGGTGCGACGTCAAGGCTGATGTTCATCTTCTCGAGGAGGAGACCAATTTTGTAAAAGCGAATGATAGCATGGGTCACAAGATTGTCGCTGGAGCACCTAGGTGAGTTCGCGATTAGCAAAAGTGATTCTTCTTTGTTAATATAGATGAGATCTCTATTGAAAATCTTGATACGTTTTGTGCTAGAAAATAAAATATGTTTCCTAGTAGATTTTAGCTCCGTTATGAGCCCGTGAGATTAGTACTTGTGTTTTTTTTGTAATTTTCTTTCTCATTTTTTTTCTGTAGATTCGCTACCTCGACGACTTTTCAAATTTTAAGGGTTTTCTCGAGAGACTTCAAACAATAAGAGGGAGAGGTGCTTTGTGGGAGACGTAAACCGATCGTCCGACTTTTGAGTTTTTGAGCATTTCACCCTTTCTTTGTCTCTTGATTATTCGTTCTTGTAATTATTTTCTTATCTCGAGGTGTTTTTGTCAGGTGCTCCTTCATGCTCGATGATGGGGAATGTTGATTGTGAATTTAAGAGTTTCGGTGATAAGTTTGCGAAAACGTTTCCAAATGATGTCGGGTCGTCCAAGCTAGTTGTTGAACCACAGCATGACAAGATTCCCAAGGTGGTCAAAGAGGCAGAGGCGACTAAGGGTGCTCCTCATGCGTGTGTAGGTTGCGCCTCTTCTTATGCTATATGTTTTGATGTGGTAGCTGCTCGTGCTGGGAAACAGATTTTGGCTATACTGACTGAGCTTTCCCCTTATATGTCTGCCCGTGGCGGCTAAAGTGTGCGCAACAGGCCTACATGTGGGGGCCTTCAACTGTCTGATGTTAAGAGGGGCTTGGATCGCGCTCGGAACGGTCCGAGAGACGTTGATCATTCGTTTTCCTTCGTTTATGCGGTAAAAAAGACATGTTCTGCAATGATGGGAATGCTTGAAGTGAACTTGCTAGTAAGATTCGTGGGGATTATGCCTCATTTATTGAGCCGTGGTGCCGAGTCGCTGACGTAATACATTGAACCTTTTTTACCCTTGTCATCTTGCTGATAATCGGCAACTAATGCTCGCGGGGCTCGTAATGCTCGTCTTTAATTTTTCCTCCAGGGTCGAAGATTTCAACGAAGCTTATCGTTTTTCCATGGCTTCCTTATCCTCTTCCATTTCGGTGAATATGTTTGTGCGATGCATTGCGTCCGCCAAAGTCGTCGATTGGTTAAGTAAGAGATCTTCGCTAAATCTTGACTCGTGCGAGACAGTGTTGCGTAGAGCGGCAATAGAAACATCGTCGGACGTGGCAACACTGGTTTGGCCATTGTCTACAGGTCAGGGTTAGAAGCACCTTTCTCCATGAAAGCTCTGTAATTTTTCAGGAAACTTGTATAACATGTCTTTTAATGTAGTCCAAAGTTTTTCGAGCTCACGAACACGCGCTAACGTCAACATATGTGGTTCGACGTGTTCGAGTACACCGTTAGGTCGGTTATCGCGGTTCGACACGATTTTGCAAGTGTATTCGTCGATGGATTCTACGACGATGGACGCCAGTCTATTGCATTGATTCATTGGTCGCTCTACGACTTGAGTTCGCTGTGGCGGGATTGTCTCGTCGTTGCTGAGATGCCGAACAGCAAGACTAAATATTCTGGATCTTATTATAGGAGGCTTCTTAAGTAGCAACGATCGCGGCAAGATGCTTGGCCGTCCATGTATCCTGGCGGTCAAGTCAGTCAATAAAGGATCGAATGAATTAGTCGATACGGCTTCCCCTTGGTGCGACTCCTCCAGGCTCGGCGTTGGAGGTCGCAGGAGTTGCGACAAGAGGTTGCATGGATGGCTGTGGTGGTGGTGCTACACGAGGTGTGGTAGACTCGATTCCTTGCTCATTCAAAGTTTCTGTCATTTCTTCGTTATACTCTGGGATTACCGGCTTCATCAGGTGTGATCGTCAATAGAAAGAAGAAAAACTATGTATAACCCCATCGTAGGCACCAATTGTTTGTACCGAGTTTGTAACAATAAATATACATAAGGGGTTTTTGGGGGAGAGTGGAACACTTGTTTATATACGATGAAAGAGAAACAATAACGTATAGAGAGGTCGGCAGTTACAGACATTCTGCTGATCGGTAAACGAGTAACAGAACCGAAAAACGGGAATTAAGGAACGTGAACATAAATGAGTCTAGCTAGCACGATTTTCTTTATGATTCTCTGGATAATAACTTATGTTCCTTTACTTTTTCCAACAGTGTTGGCTAATTATAGGCTCACCTTCATTGCTTTCTGTAAATTACTGTTTTGCCCTCTAAGCTTAGTTGATTAAATTAGGGTTAGCTAAAGGCTTGTTAACCTTGAAATCTCTTGTTTGGGCCATATAACATATAAGATACAAAACTCATGTCTTACATCAAGTTATTGGTTAGTGACTGAGAAGATCTCTTTTCTCCTTTTTACGATTGATCTTCTTTAGAAGCAAAGTGATTAAATAAACATAGAGAGAAGTATGTGCTCGAGCAGGAGTACTCGACCAGCACTTGGGATCCTTGTCCGAGCAGAAGTGTTCGAGCACAAGTCTTTAGAGCTCAACCATATCACTCGATCACTTCACTCGACCAGAGCTCAATTGATCACCCGAACACAAGTCTTGAGACAAGACCACCATCACTCAACCAACCCCACTCGACCTAGGCACTCGACTTTCACTCAGGAGTTTTGCCCGAGCATGTGACTTAAAGGCGCCACCTTTGAAGAACGCTCTACTCGACCAAACCACTCGAGCACCAAGTCAAGTATACCCTAAACCGCCTTTCTATTTTGTCGTTTTGTGTACTAGGTTTTTCCTTTTTGCTATAAATATACCTCTTAGGGCTTTGCCCAAAGGATCTCATTTTTGGCTACTGAACAATATTTTCTACAACATTTTGTAATCCAAATTACTTTTGATCCTTTGAGTATTTGCAATTATTTTTTTCAGCATTCTTGTTCATCTCATTTTGATCTATCATTTACGAATTTTTTATCGATTTATGGGAATGAGTTATTTTCCGGGTTTGTGTTCTTGAGCATGTATGAGTAGTGATTAGGGTTCTTGAGGATGAGATAGATTAGGTGTGGAATCCTTAGTATTTTTAGGTGGTTAAGTGTAGAATTGCTTGAATCCCTTCTGGATTAGTAGTACTTATTGCTTATTCCTTTCTGATCAACTGAGATTTGATTCCAGACATTTCCACACCCACAAGGTGTTCGATGAAATGTCTGAACCAACCTGTAGTTTTATCGTTTTTATGCATGATCACTTAGGATTGCTAGATAACCAAAACAATATTCTGCTTGGCTTGACTTAGTTATTTCTGAGCATATCTTGATTGATAGTAACTGCACCTGATTGGATTGATAACCTCTTATACTGCAATGACATGAAAGTATATTAGGGTAATTGATAGTAAACCTCTTAGTATCAATTTGGCGCCGTTGCCATTTGGGTGTCTGCTTGTTACATTCAAGATTTTATAATTGGTAAGATCAAGTTCTTTCTCTTTTCTTTGGTTACTAACTTTTCTTTTCAACTGCTTGTTTTTGTGCTTCAGGCACTAGCTCGAGTCCATTCTCCATCTGTGTATGCAAACTCGATCTAGAGGCTCTGACAACCTCATCAGCTACAAAGAAAACATTAATCGGTTAGCTCGTGAGTTGAGAGAGCATAGGGAGAGAGACGATTGTGAACAGCACAATCATGTTGCTATGGAAACACAAGACGAACAAGATCAGGGAGTTGGGATACCAAGGAATATTGGTGCGGGCGATGCACCAAGAAATCACCAACAGAGACATGGCATCATTCCACCACCTGTCCAAAACAACAATTTCGAGATCAAGAGTGGATTGATCTCAATGATACAAGGAAATAAGTTTTATGGGCTGCCTATGGAGGATCCCTTAGACCACTTGGATAGCTTTGACTGACTCTACAGCCTAACCAAGATAAATGGTGTCCGTGAGGATGATTTTAAACTAGGCCTGTTTCCGTTTTCGTTAGGAGACAAAGCACGTAAGTGGGAGAAGACACTCCCTCCAAACTCCATCAGATCTTGGGACGATTGCAAGAAGGCTTTCTTAGCAAAGTTCTTCTGAAATTCAAGAACTGCAAGGCTACGGAATGAAATATCTGGTTTCACCCAAAAGCAATCTGAATCCTTTTGTGAGGCCTGGGAGAGTTTTAAAGGCTATACTCTTTAGTGTCCACACCATGGATTCAAGAAAGCTTCATTACTCAACACACTTTACAGAGGAGCTTTGCCCAAGATCAGAATGTTGCTTGACACTGCTTCTGATGGGAACTTCTTAAATAAAGATGCTGAAGAAGGCTGCAAATTGGTTGAGAACTTGGCTCAGTCCGATGGTAATTATAATGAAGATTTTGATCGCTCAAACAGAAGCACTGGAGATGCGGACGCGAAGCACAAGAACGAAATTAAAGCACTCAATAAGAAACTTGACATGCTTCTCCTTGGCCAGCAGAAGCACGTTCACTTCCTGGTTGATGACGATCAGTATCAAGCCCAAGATGGGGAGGGAAACCAGTTAGAGGAGATAAGCTACATCAATAATCAAGGAGGCTACAAAGGATACAACAATTTCAAGCCTTACAATCCCAACTTATCATATAGGAGCACCAATGTTCCAAAGCCGCAGGATCAGGTATATCCTACCCAGCAACAACAACCACAAAACAATCTTTTTGTTCCATACAATCAGAGCGAAAGGTTTGTCAATAAGCCACAGTTTCAGGAGGTTACCACAGCAGAATCCATCACCAGGTTTTGCACCACAACAACATCAAGCCTCTGCTGCACCTGATCAAGACATGAAGCAGATGCTTCAACAACTGCTACAAGGTCAAGCCTCTAGTGCAATGATACTTGATAAAAAACTTGCTGAGATGAACACCAAGATGGATTGCTCTTATAATGATCTTAACATTAAGTTTGAAGCGTCGAACTCCAAGATCAAGTATATGGAGAATCAGACAGCCTCCACTTCAACTCCGAAACATCCGGGACAATTTCCAGGGAAGGCAGTCCAGAATACGAAAGATTATGCCAACGTTCATGCTATCACACTTCAAAGTGGACGAGAGGTGCCAACTCGTGAAGCCACTAAACCAGTCACTAAGGACAGTGAACTTCAAGATGGGGAGGATTTGAGACAAAGTGAAGCTCCAATTGATAAATCTGTCAAGGACAATGTACTCGACCTGCTGCTCGAGCAACACCTATTTCTGTTGAAAAGCCAGCTGCTGCTAAGAAAGCTTTCATTTCTCCTCCATCCAAGCCTAAAATACCCTTTCTAGGAAGACTTAAGAGTGAGATGATGGAGAACTACAAGATGTTTCTGATGGACGCTTTTGTGCTCATACTTTATTCTCATAAGTATCTAAAGGATTTGATTATGGAGAGAATAAAGGAAGTAACAGGAATGGTAGTTCTGAGTCATGAGTGCAGTGCCATTATTCAAAAGAAGATTATCCCGAAGAAGCTAGGAGACCCTGGATCATTCACCTTACCATGTTCTCTAGGTCCTCTAGTCTTCAACAAATGTCTGTGCGATTTGGGAGAGTCAGTAAGTCTTATGCCACTATCTATTGCTAAGAGACTGGAATTTAGCAAGTATAAGTCCTGCAATATCTCACTGATCTTGGCTGATAGATCAGTGAGGATTCCTCATGGTCTGCTGGAGGACTTACCTATCAGGATAGGGGTGGTGGACATACCTACAGACTTTGTGGTATTAGAGATGGATGAAGAGCCACAAGACCTTCTCATATTGGGAAGGCCTTTCCTAGCCATTGCAGGAGCAATTATTGACTGTAGAAGAGGAAAGATCGATCTCAACCTCGGGAAAGACCTTAAGATGGCCTTTGATGTCACTGACTCTATGAGGTAGCATACAATAGAGGGACATGTCTTTTGGATTGAAGAGATGGATCACTTGGCTGATGAACTGTTAGAAGAGCTTACAGAGAAGGACTACCTACAAAGTGCTCTAACTAAATATGGTGAAGACGGGTACCTACACTTGGAAACTTCTGGATACAAGAAGCTCCTCGATTCACATAAGGAAGCAGAAGGACCAAAGTTCTTTGAAGAGTTGATTGTGTCTCCAATAGAGGTTTTAGCAGTAATTGAAGAAAGTTCAGATTGTGCTCGAGCAAGTCACTCGACCTGCAGCTCGAGCAGCCGTGCTGAGGAGTCTGAGGACACATGCTCGACCAAAGTGCTAGACCAACCATCAACCTGTGCATCAGACGACTGGTCTGAACTTAAAGCTCTGAAAGCTGATCTTAAACCTCTTCCTAAAGGACTAAGGTACGCATTCCTTGGAACAAACTCTACCTACCCTGTGATCATTAATGCTGAGTTGAATGATGATGAGGTTCCCTTGCTATTGAATGAACTTAGAAAGTATAGGAGAGCAATTGGTTATTCTCTGTCTGATATTAAAGGGATCTCACCTAGTTTGTGTATGCATAGGATCCATCTTGAAAAAGAATCACCCTTACTACTGCTTTTTAGATGGATATAGTGGATTTTTCCAGATACCTATTTATCCTAATGACCAAGAGAAAACCACTTTTACTTGCCCTTATGGAACTTTTGCTTATAGAAGAATGCCTTTCGGATTGTGTAATGCACCTGCTATGTTTCAGAGTTGTATGACTTCAATATTCTCGGATTTAATTGAGGAGACGGTGGAAGCTTTTATGGACGATTTCTCTGGCTATGGCTCCTCCTTCTCCTCTTGTTTGTTAAATCTATGCAGGGTTCTAGCAAGGTGTGAGGAGATCAATCTAGTGCTGAACTGGGAGAAGTGTCACTTCATGGTCAGAGAGGGTATAGTACTTGGGCACAAGATCTCAGAGAAATGAATTGAGGTTGATAAGGCCAAGATAGACGTTATGGTGCAGTTGCAGCCTCCGAAAACCCTCAAAGATATCAGAAGCTTTCTGGGTCATGCTGGTTTCTACAGGAGATTCATCAAAGACTTCTCAAATACTAGGTTGGGAATGAAAGATTTAGGTGGTTAGATTGAATATCTAAGGTTGATCAGTGGGATTGGGAGAAAGAGAAGGAAGGGAATGAAAAGAAAGGTTGGGAATGAAAGATTTAGGTGGTTAGATTGAATACTTGTAACGCCCCGACCATCTCTACCAGTGGACCCCATGTCCTCTCTCGGGCCCATGGGTCCACCCCTGTCCGACGGCCGGTCCGCTACGTCCGGGAGGCTTTAAAGACTTCTTTACCGACCCTAAAAATCACCACATGATCTTTCCCTGTGTTTTGTCCTCACTCACACAGTTCCGACGATCACTTCCCGGAAGGTCACCCATCCTGAAACTATTCCAGCCAAAGCACGCTTAACTGTGGAGTTCTCTCAAGACAGTTGACCGAAAAGATAAGTGCACTTTGGTGACATAGGTGGCCAAATCAATTCTTTTAAACCTCTCCGCATGCACCACCATATTCCTGAAATCGGGGTGTTACAATTCACCCCCACTAACAGATCGCAACGTCCTCGTTGCGCACCAAGACCGTCATCCCCTATGGTGTGAGCCCTCTTGACTCCACACTTGTCTGGGTTCGGCTCTGATACCACTTGTAACGCCCCGACCGTCCCTACCAGTGGCCCCACGTCCTCTCTCGGGCCCATGGGCCCACCCCTGTCCGACGGCCGGTCCGCTATGTCCGGGAGGCTTTAAAGACTTCTTTACCGACCCTACAAATCACCACATGATCTTTCCCTGTGTTTTGTCCTCACTCACACAGTTCCGACGATCACTTCCCGGAAGGTCACCCATCCTGAAACTACTCCAGCCCAAGCACGCTTAACTGTGGAGTTCTCTCAAGACCGTTGACCGAAAAGATAAGTGCACTTTGGTGACATAGGTGGCCAAATCAATTCTTTTAAACCTCTCCGCATGCACCACCATATTCCTGAAACCGGGGTGTTACAAAAAGTCTAAGGAAAGGTTTAGAAAAGAGCTGAGTGTTTAAAGAATTCCCTAGGTGACTAGTAAAAAGAGTTTGATCTTGAGGGTTGTGCTTAAAAAGAAGACCAAATGGTCTAGTGTTTTCTGGGTAAAAAGAGAATGAAAAGAATGTGCTAAGGGTAGAAGTTAGAGATTGCATCAAGATGGGTAGAACAGCAAGAGTTGACCTTTGTAGCATAAACTGTTCTTGATCTTAGATAAATTTCATGACTATCTTGCATTCCTTGTTCCTGAGAGAAAGCCACCAAAGAATAAAATATTTGAAACCACCCTCAAAAGGCCTTTATCCCTAAATCGATTGAGATTGATTCATTTACCATTTGCGAGACTGCACCAAGCACTATAATGAATGTTGAATTAGAATCATGCATTGACATAAATATGGAGAAGTACGAAAGAATACATTGCTTGATTCATGCAGCTTTGAACTATTCTCAAGGACTTTAAGTTGAATCTTTTATTGGATGCTTTACTTGGTTCTGAGTCCTCACTTTCAAACCTCTCCTCCAGCTTGATCTTGATTTTTTGCTTGAGGGCAAGCAAAGACTAAGTTTGGGAGAGTTGATATGTCTATATTTTACTAGTTTTTACCATGCATTTATCTCTCATTTAGTCTAGTTTCATTCTTGTTTCATGTCTTTATCAGTCAGTTTGCATCACTTAGCATCACTTTGAGTATTTAGGATCATTCTACATCTCTGTTGCATACATTCTTGCATTTTGGAGTTGTATCAGGTGTTTTTAGGTGTTAAAGAGCTGTGGAGGAGTATGTGCTCGAGCAGGAGTACTCGACCAGCACTTAGGATCCTTGTCCGAGCAAAAGTGTTCGAAAACAAGACTTCAGAGCTCAACCATATCACTCGATCACTGCACTCGACCAGAGCACTTGACCAGAACTCAAGATGATCACCCGAGCACAAGTCTTGAGACCAGACCAGCATCACTCGACCAACCCCACTCGACCTGGGTACTCGACTTTCACTCAAGAATTTTGCCCGAGCATGTGACTTAAAGGCGCCACCTTTGAAGAATGGTCTACTCGATCCAAACCACTCGAGCACCAAGTCGAGTAGACCTTAAACCGCCTTTCTATTTTGTCGTTTTTTGTACGAGGGTTTTTCCTTTTTGCTATGAATAGACCTCTTAGGGCTTTCCCCAAAGGATCCCGTTTTTAGCCACTGAACAATATTTTCTGCAAAATTTTGT